AAACAAAATTTTATAATTTAGTTTGAGAAAATCCTGAGCATATTAATTTTTGTATAGCCTCAAGAGCCGAGACATTCAGGCTTCAGGTTGACCAAGATTTGTCATCAAATGAATGCTTTCTTTAACATTTTATGACCATCGTCCTGGCGTGTCATGTTGATACAACAACAGGATGCCTTGCAAGAAAACTCTCCTGCCTAGTATCTGTTGTAATTGGTCAGCGAATGAATAAGCTCGGCGACTCCCTTTCCTTTTTAATCAGTATGCTCTTGAATAAAGTTTGCCTTGCTAAGTTAATCAATCCAAAATATGCGCAATTGCCGTTGCAATTGCGCATGCTCGCTGGTTTACTCTAGTTTGAGCACTCTGGCATGGCTTAGACGATACCACAAAGGTTGGGTCGTTTGGGGTGACCGTCTCGGTTCTCCCCCATCCTAGCATTAGCACTGCACTGATGAGGCCCAGAAGGCCGAAACAGTACTGTCTGCAGTTAGATATAGCTCTTTGGCATACAAAGCTTTGCTTTCATGTCCAAATTGAGCACTCTATCTAGGATGAGTCATTGCCGTTGCAATTGCGCATGCTCGCTGGTTTACTCTAGTTTGAGCACTCTGGCATGGCTTAGACGATACCACAAAGGTTGGGTCGTTTGGGGTGACCGTCTCGGTTCTCCCCCATCCTAGCATTAGCACTGCACTGATGAGGCCCAGAAGGCCGAAACAGTACTGTCTGCAGTTAGATATAGCTCTTTGGCATACAAAGCTTTGCTTTCATGTCCAAATTGAGCACTCTATCTAGGATGAGTCATTGCCGTTGCAATTGCGCATGCTCGCTGGTTTACTCTAGTTTGAGCACTCTGGCATGGCTTAGACGATACCACAAAGGTTGGGTCGTTTGGGGTGACCGTCTCGGTTCTCCCCCATCCTAGCATTAGCACTGCACTGATGAGGCCCAGAAGGCCGAAACAGTACTGTCTGCAGTTAGATATAGCTCTTTGGCATACAAAGCTTTGCTTTCATGTCCAAATTGAGCACTCTATCTAGGATGAGTCATTGCCGTTGCAATTGCGCATGCTCGCTGGTTTACTCTAGTTTGAGCACTCTGGCATGGCTTAGACGATACCACAAAGGTTGGGTCGTTTGGGGTGACCGTCTCGGTTCTCCCCCATCCTAGCATTAGCACTGCACTGATGAGGCCCAGAAGGCCGAAACAGTACTGTCTGCAGTTAGATATAGCTCTTTGGCATACAAAGCTTTGCTTTCATGTCCAAATTGAGCACTCTATCTAGGATGAGTCATTGCCGTTGCAATTGCGCATGCTCGCTGGTTTACTCTAGTTTGAGCACTCTGGCATGGCTTAGACGATACCACAAAGGTTGGGTCGTTTGGGGTGACCGTCTCGGTTCTCCCCCATCCTAGCATTAGCACTGCACTGATGAGGCCCAGAAGGCCGAAACAGTACTGTCTGCAGTTAGATATAGCTCTTTGGCATACAAAGCTTTGCTTTCATGTCCAAATTGAGCACTCTATCTAGGATGAGTCATTGCCGTTGCAATTGCGCATGCTCGCTGGTTTACTCTAGTTTGAGCACTCTGGCATGGCTTAGACGATACCACAAAGGTTGGGTCGTTTGGGGTGACCGTCTCGGTTCTCCCCCATCCTAGCATTAGCACTGCACTGATGAGGCCCAGAAGGCCGAAACAGTACTGTCTGCAGTTAGTTATATACATATATATATATATAAAGGGTGGGGGAGAACCGATATGGTTACCCCGAACGATCCCACATGATTTGTGGTATCGTCTAAGCCATGCCAGAGTGCTCAAACTAGGAAAGCCTAGTGAGCTATGCGCAATGCTAGCGGCAATGACTCACCCCACAGTGCTCAATTTGGACATTGTAGTATAATTATATATTTTGTATTTTATGTACGGAGCGTCCTCGATAGGCATAACCTCCGACGCTTCCTTTTATGTATGCACATAATAAATTGATTGATTTGATTAACACATTTAGGAAAAGCCTGTTGGCTGAAAGCCAAGAGGCTATACCCCTGAGATCCTTTGACATTTTATTCTGCAGGGCAGGGAAACTGTAGCCTGAGAATGCCAAGCTCGTATCGTCAGCAAATAATCTTGCTACACCATGATAAAACACTTAGAGATATCATTTATATATATAAGAGAGAGCAGCCGACCTAAAATTGAACCTTGAGGAACACCACATGTTATTTAATCTATAGATGAGGTGATATCAACAGCATAACATACTTGTTTTCGATTTTCTAAATACGGAGTGAACCAGTTGATTGTTGCAGTTTCTACTCCATAGTATCTAAGTTTTGTAAGTAAAGTAACATGGTCAACGGTATCGAAGGCTTTTTTTAAGTCCAGGAAAAGAACTCCATTAACCATGCCTTTATAAAGGTATGGTTAGTAAGAAAGTTATTCTCATTAACATACCTAAGATATAACTGGTCAAAGTCTTTCAAATACTCGTGCAATTGTTGGCAAAACAGAAATTGGTCTGTAATTATTTGCGTAGCTCAGATCACCCCATTTAAAGAGTGGAAAGACCTTTGCTATTTTCCAATCAGATGGAAATACACCGGAGGTGATAGATAAATTAAATAAGTCTGTTAAGTTCTTATAGATAATAGGAGCAGCTATTTTTAAAATTCTATTTTATAGTTTATCGATACCAGTTG